CTCTCATCGATGTTTCTAACTCTCTATCCCTCTCCCTTCCTCTCTGTAAAAAATCAATAAAATATATTTTTTTAAAAATATTAAAGGTGAAGGAGCCTGATGTCAAGTGGCTTGGGAAAAGAATGCTACCGAGAGAGGCAAGCAAAGTAGCGAAGTATAAAAAAAAGCGGGGGTGGGGGGGGGGCGGGCAAAGTATTTATAACTAATGGGTATGTCGGGTGTGGCAGCCAGCTTCTGAGCCGGCCTCCAGCGATCCCACCTCCTCAGATCCCGTCTCCCCTGACACTGGACCAGGGTTGGTCTCCACGACCAACAGAATCCAGCCAGTGACCACATGCTACTTCCCAGGTTAGGTTATAAAAGACCGTGGCTTCCATTCGGGGCACAGTCTCACCCTCTTCCTGCTGGATTGTTCGCCTGGTGGAGACCCTGAGCAGCGTGTTATGAGTCCCCTTAGGGAGGCCCCACAGAGAGGCGCTGAGGCCACAGCCACATGAGTGAGCCAGCGTGGAGGCCCATTCTCCGGGCCAGTCAAGCCTTCAGCCCCGGTTCACACGCTGAGCTCATGAGCGGTGGGAAGCCAGGACCCTCCCATGGCTACTTCCAGATTCTTGCTCCTTAGAAAGGGTCTGAGATACGTTCATGTTGGTTGCTTTAAGTGGCTAAGTTTTGGGATCATTTGTTACACGGCAATACATAACTAATACATCTGGTTAAAGAGCAAAGAACGCTCACGGGTTCTTTGTACTATTCTGGCAACTTTGCATAGATTTGAAATGATTTTAAACTGAAATCTAAAAGTACCCAAATTTAAATTTTTTAAAAACCTGTTCTCATTAAAAATGCAGAGACACACACACACACATACTCCACCACAAACAAAGTAAAAAACCAAATGATATACTGCATAGATTTGAAATGATTTTAAACTGAAATCTAAAAATACCCAAATTTAAATTTTTTAAAAACCTATACTCATTAAAAATGCAGACACACACACACACACACACACACTCCACCACAAACAGAGTAAAAAACCAAATGATATACTGGGGGAAATATCTGCAATTCATAGCACAAACTTCATCTCTCTCATATGTAAAGAGCCTCTAGAAACCACTAAGAATAACAACCAGTGAGAAAAAGGGGCAAAGGTATGACCCGAGGATGCACAAGAAAGAAAATGCAAAAGGCTTAAGTACTTCAAGAGATGCCCAAGTTCACCTGTCATATGAGAAATGCAGAGCAAAAGCACCCTGAGAAACCAGTTAGGAAACCACGTTAGGAAAAAGCCATACATCTCATACAGACACTCCCATAGACTGCGTGGGCGTCCACACTGGCACGACGTGCTACAACTCCAGAGGAATGCAATTCGGCAGCAGCTACCAAATTATAAGTGCACATCCGCTTTGTCCCAGCACACAGGCTCCTGGGAAGTGACCAGACCACACACGTGTCTGTGGGAAATGACTCGCGAAGAAGGTTCTCGCTGCAGCTGCGTGTGGAGCGCCAGCGGCTGGCCATGGTCTATTGGGAATCAATACAGCATTTACTGGGGAAATGGGATTCGTTTCAGGCCCCTCCCCCCCCCCA